CTTTATAATTTAGGGTTTAGGCGATGGGTGATGTAGATTGTCAAAAGATGGGAGTGGTATGGACATGGTCTATAGATGGTGTTAGGTTCAAGTGATGGTTTAGGTGTTGGTAGATTGTTGGCATTAGGCTGTAACCATGGTGAGTGTCAAAGTTGGTTAATAGTAGGGGTGTAAACGAGTCGAGCTGAGTTTCTGCCTAATCGAACTAAGCTTATTTAATTTTGATTGAGCTCAAGCTTGACTCGTTAACAAATTTTGTTGGCTCGAGATCGACTCGATTGTTGGAGCTCATTTGGAAAGCTCGAGATTGACTCGATTATTAAGCTCTCTCTTCAAGTTTCCCCTTCCCCACAAGAACGAAGCTACAATGGCTCGCCAAAAACACTTACAAAAGTGCCTTGCCATAGCTTATATAGAAGTCTCAAAACGAGCTCACTTAATGCAAGGTTTGTACCAAGGGAGTGTGGAGGGGATTCCACACGGTTGCTCAGGCGAACTCGCACCTTAGTACCATCCGGATTCAAGACTTGTCTTCGAGGTAAGTCACCAAAGAAGAAGATCTCTTTGGTGTCAAAGGACCCGGCGATCCGCGCCCCACTGGGGAAGGTGGAAGTGATTTTTGTAAGGGCTTCTCCGCCTAGCTGTGGGGGCTAAAATGAGAGGACACTTGTTTTAGTGCAATACTTGGACGGTGCCTCCAAGGAGTGGACGAGGTCAAGGCTTGACCGAACCACACTATAAATCCGGTGTGTTCTTTCCTTTATTACTTTCCTTACTTCTGCACTTTAATTTCCGCATCGTTGATTTTCCATGGTGATTTTGGTTTGAGTTTTATCCTTGGTTTTTAAAGTTATCCAATTCACCTCTCTCTTTGTTAGCCTTGGGTCAGTTCATAATGGCTTAACATCCCTAACGAACTTTCAAGTGCCATCTGAGCACTTTCATTTTTAAGTTAAATGAGCGGCTCAACGAGCTTTCAAGTCGAGTCAGGCTCAGCCTGAGCTTGAGCTCATTTTATATATGAGCTCGAGTAAATGCTAGAGCTCAAACTTGTGGCTTGATAAGTTCGACTCGTGAGCTCATTAATGAGTTGAGCTCGAGCTGACTCACGAGCCAACTCAGCTCACTTACACCCCTAATTAATAGACATTTTCGAGCGTTGGAGGACATTAACAATTGTGGTTATCAATTTTTGTCAAATCCTAGTAAAGGGCAATGGCAACGAGGAGTATCCATGTTGATAGATAGGTGTCTAGCATGGACATTAGTCCACAAATGGTTTTAGGCATCAACATTGGTTAAGGAATGCGTGTGTAAATATTTGTCGACTTATGTTTGTGGGTAATAGTGGTGGTAGTGATTGCTTTATAGTTTTTTAAGCCTAATAATTCTCTCCACTAGAACTCTATCTCCTAAATTTATGGAAATGTAATTATTTATATATTAATAAAAACAGTATTTTTGTTATTTCAATTAAAATTTTGGATATTTCAATAAAGTTATATATATATTATTTACTCGATAAACTGAATTTTTGATGTGTTAAAATTCAGACGATTGTATTAATGGAAATAATTTGTTCCACTAAAAATCCTCGATGATAGGACCTCATTTTTGTATTGAAATATAAGCATTACTTTCCCCAAAAAAATGAGAGTAAGCATTTATTATAAATAGCTAATAAAACCAAGTTATGTGGTGGTTCTAAAAACTTTAGAAAAAAAAAAATTTAGATAAATTGTGCGAAAATGAATGTGCGGCCATGATTGAATGTCAATAGTTGGTTCAACTCGGTTGAATATTTTGTTTGAGATAGCTTTCTTACTACTTTATACAATAGCTTTCTAGTACAAGAATTTTTTTGATTAGAAATTTTTATATTGGAAAGCTGCTTTAAAAAATATTAAGAAAGCTATGTCAAACAAAGATGTCCTAAGACATATGGTTTGAATTTAAAATCATGCTTGATCAAATAGAAAAATGGATACAGCAAGATTAATGCTATTCATGTGATTTTTATAGGAATGAAACTAACAAGAGAGGAGCCCCCACCCTTTATAAACATTAGTTTTAGGGGATATTTGATTTGCTAAAAAAGAAATCTAGAGTAAAAGAAATACAAAATAAAAATAAAGTAATATATTTGAATATTTGATATTGTTTGAATGAGCATAAAAGAAGTCCATGTGATTATTATTTTTATTTAATTTTGAACAAACTAAATAACTTCTTAGTCAAGCAAATATCTCTTAATTATAAAAAAAATATATATATATTTTTATGATATATTCAAAAAAAATTGAGATAATTGATTTAAAGTAAAATAATATATAATGTCAAAAGATCTCATTAGTTTTTTCTGATTTGAAAAAAAAGAAAAAAAATTATTTCTATAAACCTAAAATTTAGTAATACATTTCATAAAATTATTATTTATCATTAAAAAATAAAAAAATAGGATAAATAATTTATTTAGATAAGGCCACTATGGCTGCATAAGCCGAGGTAGCATAAAAACATGTGAATAGTCTAGGGGTTGCAAACGAGTCGAGTCGAGCTCAGAGCCAGGGCGTGTTCGAGTCGAGCTCGACTGCCCAAATACTGAGGCTCGAGCTCTGACTCGTCTAGGAAACGAGTCGAGTCGAGCGCGTCTACGTCGAGCATCTCGCAGAACGCGTTAATATGACCGCTCGCTTGCCTTCCCGCTCCGTTCCGCCCGCGCGCAGAATCCCGGCACGCTCCGCGCTCGATCCAACGCAGTGCCGCGCGCCCGGATCCTGCCGCTACGCCCGATCCCGCACCCGCAATCGCGCTCGCTCCGGTTCCGCCCAACTCCCGATCCGCCGCTCCGCGCGTCGCCCGATTCCAGATGCTATTGCCGCCCGCTCACCGGACGCAGCCGGCGCTCGCTCCCGCTTCCAGCGGCTCGCTCGCTCCTGCAACGCGAACGCGACACGCTCGGACCCGAGCTACAACGAAGCCAACGAATCCGATCAGACCCAGCGTCCAGAGCTCGAGCTCGTTTAGCATTCGAGCTCTGGAACTCGTGTCGAGGCTTCGGACTTGCGGAGCTCGGATAAGCTCGGCTCGTTGAGGCCAATTTAACGAGTCCGAGCCCCGAGCGGCTCGCGAGCACGGCTTGACTCGTTGCACCCCTAGAGCAGTCCATCTACCCGATCCGTCCTTTCTTCCTCTCATTTCGTCGCGTTCCCCTCGCAAGCTTTCCAGTTGAAAGTAAATAATACTGAAGCTTCTTTCATACACGTTCCATATAACAACGTAGAAAACGGGAGCAGTCTAAAAGCCGGGCGGAGCAAAAGCAGACGCGAAAAAAAAAATAAAGGACGGGGAAAGGGAAAATTCGAAAGGCGCCAATTTCCTTCTCATCTCAGTGAACCTTCTCCTTCTCCTTCTCCTGCAAAGTCTGACCTAAGTTTCTCTCAATTCCTCGTCGGCGATGGAGAACGCGGAAATATTGAAGGCGGAGTGGGTATTCCCCGATCAGTACATGGAGAAGCGGCGGCTGTTTCTGCGAAGCTACCACTTATCGCGGAAGCGGAGCGCGGCCGACCGGCTTCGGATTTCGGCCGTGCGCGTGCGGCGGCTCGTCTGTGTCCGTCTCCGCGCCGCTCGACGCGTGCCTCGCTTGCTCTGTTCGCTACTTCGCTCGGCTCTGCTTCGCCGCCGCTTCCACCCTCTCGCTTCGTACTGCTAGGAAATGGTGGTGGGTGGAAGCCGTCCATGTGCTTTTGTCGCTTGCGGAGATGGGAACATATGAAGAAGGTTGTATTGATTGAAACCTGCTGATTTTCCCTTTTTTTTAGAACCTCTGTTCTCCCTCTTTCTGTTGGCACCGTTTTGTGGAATTTTGGATGAATCCAAGCCTTCTACGGCTCAATCGCTATGTTTGCAATAAACGAAAGTTGTCTGAAATGAATTTTAAGGAAGCTGTTTCCTTTTTTCTTTCAATCTGATTTTGGAGGAATTTTTCTCTATTTCCCTTTGAGTAGTGCTGAATTGCTTGAATTTGGAATCCTCTCTCTAACTCTCTCTACTTGGTGGAAGCTTTTTGTTGCAGATTCATTTTGGAAAATTTATTTGGAGCTAGTTCTAATTAACTAATTATATTGAAATTTTCTGAAAAAACATATCACAGTTGTTTTAATTGTAAATATATATATGCTTGAAAACAAGTCTTCGACATAATATACAATCGATGATAAATCTTAATTTAAAATTTCTATATAATGACAAAGAAGTTGCTTGTAATATTTTGTGTCTGCTATTGGTCTTCTTTTCTATTATGTCTGGTTCTGTTTTCATCTCTTAAAAAATAAATAATAGAGATAGATAGCTGATTTTATTATATTGGACAGAAGAAAATTTCGGCTGATAATTTAAGAACAAAATTATGTCATCTCTTCATTAGATGAAGCCCGAAGAGCATATTCAATATCAATCATTGTTTTAATGAGACAAAAAAGATTAAGATAGAGAGATTCCAGACCAAAAAGTCTATGATAATTTAAGTCAATGGGAGGATTAAATTTGAATCAAAACAGAAGTCTTTAAGATGGATGCTGATTTGGTGGACTTGTATGTGATGGATGATACACCACCAATGATCATGATGCAAGAGATAAGACGCCAAGATTTTTGTTGAATCAATTGGTATCTTACGTATATCATTGACTAATTACATGACTTTTTATTCCATCTTGATGTAATTGAGCAAGTGAAAGAGCTAGATGACTCACAATTAAAATCTATGTAGAGTCATTTGTAAGGCTTGTATCAAACAGTTAAAGATCAAATAAAGAAACACAAGGGATAGGAAGAGGCTATAGCTTCGTTTGGGATCTTATTGCTTCTTAAAGTAGCTTTTTAAAAAGCTGCTTTAAGAAGCAATAAGAAAGTCATCCCAAACGAAGCCTAAATTAAGTTTCATGGAAGCTCCAACTTGAGCTTTGCAAATCAAAATGAACCTAAATTCAACTGTTATAAGCTTTACTATTTTCCAACATATCTGTGAGAGCTGAGGAAGATGAGAAGGATCGGAACAGAGAGAAGCCAAAGAGGAGAGAAAATTGGAAATTAATCTTATTATCTGAAAGCTTATTACAGAGCCTATATATATAGAAATACATGTGTATGATTGTAAATAACATAAGATACATAATGAGCTATACAGACGTGTTCGTCTCACATCCTCCCTCAAACTGAGCATCCGGTTCGCGGATGGTTAGTTTGGAACGAAGATAGTTGAAACGAGGAGTAGAAAATGATTTTGTGAAGACGTCTGCTATTTGCTGTTGAGAGGGAATATGCTGAATATGAATGTTGCCATCGTGAATATGCTGACGAATGAACTGGTAGTCAATTTCGATGTGTTTTGTTCTGGCATGGAAAACAGAATTCTTGGCGATGGCAATTGCGGAGATGTTGTCGCAATGGATAGTCGTCGGAGCTGCTTGAGATAGCTGCAGTTCGTCGGCGAGTCTCCGAAGCCAAATCGCTTCAGAAGTAGCGGCTGACAAAGCGCGATATTCAGCCTCTGTTGAGGATTTTGCGGCCGTTATTTGCTTTTTAACGGACCAAGAAATTAAATTGGGTCCAATAAAGGAACAATGACCAGTGACAGATTTCCGATCAGTTGTATCTGATGCCCAGTCCGCATCGGTATACGTTTGAAGTTGATGGTCGCCGGGTTGGATGGGAAGACTGAGTTGTGCAGTTCCTTTGATATACCGAAGGATCCGCTTGAGATTCTTAAAGTCTTGTTCTGTTGGTTGGTGCATTTGCTGGCAAGCTTGATTGGTGGCAAATGCGATATCCGGTCTAGTGATAGTTAAGTACTGAAGCGACCCGGCAAGGCGGCGGTAGAGAGAAGGATCGTGAAACGGAGGTGAGTCGGACTGATGTTTGGATGTCGCAGTAGCAATCGGTGTCTGAGCGTTCTTGCACTGATCAAATCCAGCGTCATGGATGAGTTTATTGGCATAATGTTCCTGTGTCAAGAAATATCCATTCTGTGTATGAAGAACCTTGATGCCAAGAAATAAGGAGATGGTTCCCAACTGCTTTAACGCGAACTCAGTGTGTAGCGCACGAAGGAGATGCTGAATGCTGTCGGAATTATTACCTGTCACAAGAATGTCGTCGACATAGACTAAGAGAAAGATTTGAATATTATTTTTGGATTAAAGAAGAAGCGAGGAATCAGAACGACTAAACCTGAAACCACGATGTAGAA